CCAGACTGCGCTAGGTGAGCAGACCGTTACTGATCGTAGGGACTTTTACGTCTGGCGAATCGTCTGATAAATAATGGTTGCATAAAGAATTAATCATATCCTTTACATGGCAAATATGGAACTGAAAACGAAACGGCACAGGTGAGAAATAGCTGAAAACTATGAAATGTAAAAAGGTAATTAATGTAATGTAAACGTAAAAAACGTAAAAATGTTTTAAAAAATGAAAATGAAAGAGCAACGACACAGCAAAAAGACAGCTGGCAGCAAGTCACGCGCTTCAAACTTGCCCATGTGCGTGACTTGGAGAAGACCAGGTGTACTGCGTGACCTGCAGGGACAAAGTGCACAGGTTCTACCTATGTGATTTTGAGCGAACATGAATGTACGCAAATGAGTGACTCTCAGGGAGACCACAGCAGGGGTGTCGTACCTGTGTGACTCGAAGGAGACACAGCGGGGTGCCTGTACCCGTGTGACTAGGAGGACCGCAGCAGGGGTGTCCGTACCTGTATGACTCGGAGGAGACCACAGCAGGGATGCCCGTACCTGTGTGATTCAGAGCAGACCACAGCAGGGGTGCCCGTACCTGTATGACTGGAGGAGACCACAGGGAGTGCCCGTATCTGTGTAACTCGAGGAGACCACAGCAGGGGTGCCCGACCTGTATGACTTGGAGGAGACCACAGCAGGGGTGCCCGTACCTGTGTGACTCGGAGGAGACCACAGCGGGGTGCTGTACCTGTGTGACTCGAGGAGGAGACCACAGCAGGGGTGCCCGTACCTGTGTGACTCGAAGGAGACCACAGCAGGGGTGCCCGTACCTGTGTGACTCGAAGGAGACCACAGCAGGGGTGCCCGTACCTGTGTGACTCGGAGGAGACCACAGCAGGGGTGCCGTATCTGTGTGACTCGGAGGAGACCACAGCAGGGGTGTCCATACCTGTGCGACTCGGAGGAGACCACCACCACGCGGGCGCCGCGGGTGCGCGCCAGCGCCGGCTCCAGCAGCAGGGTCAGGTAGAAGTGGCCCAGGTGGTTCACACCGAACTGCGACTCGAGCCCGTCTTCAGTCAGCGTGTGCGGCGGTGCGAACACCGCCGCGTTCAGGATCAGCATGTGCAGATGTCTGCGGGCCGCGAGGAACTCAGCTCATTGTAATTTACCACGTAGCCTGTCTTTCCTGGCCATCACGACCTCCGTCTGAGCGCAGCCTGACCCCAGTCTGACCCATGACCTGTACGGCCCGATCTGACTCATGAACTCTGACTCTGACTCTGGCCTGACCTAGAGCGGGTCCGACTCAGCAGGGACATGTGCATGGGGAGCCGGCATCACCGCGTCGGTCGGCCTCTGGGGTGCACATAGTTGCATGCCAGCATCTGGGACACATTTCACTGATGGGAAGGTCACGCTATTTGTCGAGCCCATGAGTTCTCGGATGATGCATTACCAAGCACCCCTACCAGAAAATAATTGTCTGATTAGGGCTATACCACGAACGCACCAATCAACGCGAAGACCATCACAAACAAGTTACTAAGCGAAGGCACGGCGCATGCACCTGGCCCATTTGCACAATATGAGCATGCGCACCATGCGCTAGCTATCCCTAATGATTCATTCCACTGCCCTTCAGAAACTGGCCACCGGCGGTCGAACGGGCCAAAACTAACGTTACACAGAATGGGAAATACCATCATCGTAAGACACCAATGAGCATATGTAGCGACGAGTGACGGATGTGGACGGACGTCTGTGCCAGGCGACCTCGACATCAACAGACCTGTGGCGCCTGTGGAACTCGGCGGCACACTCGCGCACGCTCGCCAGGCTGGCCAGGTCCAGGTGAATGACGTCACACACGCTGTTGGCGCGCTCCGATCTGATGGTGTCGACGGCGGCGCGCGCCTTCTCCAGGTCGCGGCAGGCGAAAATCACGCGGCAGCCGTGGTAGGCCAGCGACCGGGCCGTCTCGTAGCCTGGGGCACGGGCGCGGGCCGGTCAGGGGTCGGCAGGAAACATTGGCCAGCGACAGTCAGGCATGCGGATCTGTTGGGACATGTTTACAGCATACTCTCACTGATCCAGACCGACTCCCGCCTGGTGGTGACCGAGTCTAGTCAGTGTCTCGGTCTGATCACTACCCCATCAGCTCCAGTGTCCAGTGTGACGTCATTTTTAGTACACAAGAGCCTTTTTAGTACACCCTGTGCATGCTTGGTATGCCTATCGTGGCCATTAACCACTGTAATTCATCATGTAACCCGTCCGCCCTCAGCAACACGACCTCTGTCTGACCACAGCCTGACCCCAGTCTGACCCATGACCTGTGCGGCCGTACCTGACTCATGAACTCCGACTCTGGCCAGAATTAGAGCCGGTCCGACGCAGCCCGCCCCGGCACGCCACGTCCCAGTCTAGTCTCCGCACCCCTCCCGCCGCCCCGCATCAGCGCTCACCTATGCCTGAGTTGGCGCCGGTGATCAGCGCCACGCGTCCGCTGAGGTCCCGGCCGTGCAGCACCTGCAGCGCCGAGCTGGAGCCGTCGAACCGCTGCCGGATGCCCTCCTCGCCCTCCTGCTCCTCCACGGCGAACGCCAGCCGCGGGTCGGTGAGGCTCGTCGTGCGGCTCTCGTGGTCCACGTACACCACCTGCGGCGGTCGGGCGGCGCTGGCAGCGCTCCAAGGCATGCGTGTGGGGTCGCCGCGCGTGAGGCGGCAGGCGTCACGTGAGGAACACCGGCTCAAAACCGCCTCTGGCGTTAGTCGTGGCGGGGTCTCATGAGATTTCGGGGGTAGGGTTGAGTGGGGTTCCGACCCCCAAAATTCGTAAATTTTGCGTAAGGTTCATGGCATGTACCAGATACTTTGCACCGCAGGACGCCAGACATCACACATCCCACCCCCCTCTGTGTTAAAAGGAGATGTCCTTCAGTGAATGATCGTTGGGCTTCACATGTAGGCTCCTGGTTATGGACAGGCACTTAGTTACGTCATGGGTCGAGCACACGTCAAGAGATTCACTCCCGTCACCTGTGCCCCTGTTCTGTACTAGTGTGCGATACGGCCAGCGGTGGCGCTAGAGTCGCCCCTAGCCGTCTGGGACAGAATGAGACCGAAGTGCCCCAACCACTCCACAGCAGCTTTGGCACGATGTCTCATAGCGTGTTTGACACTTTCATTATATATATATATATATATATATATATATATATATACATATATGTTTGGCCAGAGATCCATTTTCGAAAATTCGGTCTCGGTGCCCTGATCGTTGTGTAGAATGCACTTATAAAAATTCTATCGATGCGTGATTTTCAAAAGGTCCCTGGCTGCCCTCGTACGCACCACTGGCCAGGGACGAAATACCGGACGAAGACAAAGCCGACAAGACCGTCAGGTCATATCCGTCTCGTGGGCTATCTCCAATGTGCTATTGTTCTACGTAGGTCACAAGCGGGACCACACTAAGACTACGCGGAGGTTTCGCATTTCATCCAGAGCGCCTGGATCCCGGTCCCGTCTCTAGCTATGAACACGCAGGACTGCTTACCACCGATATGCATGCACGGCTCAGCTCCCTGAAGTGTTCAAACATATAGAATAATACATTTTATCCAGACTCTTCTAAATGACTCCCTCTCAAACTCCCAGAAGTCCAGCAAATATAAAAACTGAGCAAAAATAGGTTTGATTTAAACCTGAATTTTGGTGGACCAGGACTTTCCACTTTGACCAGTCAGAGAATTCGTTGCTTACCTTGCCCTCACGATCAACAACCTTTTCCCATCCAAAGGGAAGCTCCTGAGGTACGTTTTTCTTCTTTCCTGTCCGGGGGTGCCTCCACTGGGTCACCTTCTCCGTGTGACTGAAAAACGGCGTCCACAACTCACAAACGGCCTATACCGTAATCACCTAACAAGAAGCGGTCGTGCAATTCTCAGCAGTTTATATCATGAAATTCCCAGAAATAACACGCAATATTTGCCAACCCTAACTTCGTGGACTTCATAACAAAACAGAGCCCAATTCAGCCGGCTTCGAGCCATGCCAGAAACCGCATAAAACAACGCCCAGCTTCAGCCAACACCAGACCGCGTTGTCCTCCTGAATGACCCAAACATTCTTTATAAATATTGGTTTAAATGCAACCCATTCATGGGAACTGTTAATTATTTATAACTGTTCAAGCATGACGTTTTAAGCATCCAAGACTGCATGGGAAAACACATGTACCTGGCCCCAACACAAGCTCAAGCACCCGATTCGCGTTAGCAGCGCGTGGAACTAACCAAGTATGCGACACACACAATCTAAGGCCCACTACGCAGCCGATCCAGCTCCACTGGGCTGAGACGAGACACAATCTAAGGCCCACTATGCAGCCGATCTAGCTCCACTGGACTGAGACGAGACACAATCTAAGGTCCACTATGCAGCTGATCTAGCTCCACTGGGCTGAGACGAGACACAATCGAAGGCCCACTATGCAGCCGATCTAGCTCCACTGGGCTGAGACGAGCAAACAGCTGGTGGCTTACTTGACATAGAAGACCCTGCCATCGAGGCTGACCCGTTCCTCCCATGCTGGAGGGAGCTCGTCTTCGCTGTCCGAATCGTAGCCTGGCGGCTGCATGATCCCCGTCACCAGTCCGACTTTTGCTCGGACCTGAAGGGAGGTAGCCATCCAGGTAAAGGTTCAACACTTGTTTGGTACCTCTGTGTTGAGTTGGAGCCTCATGGAGCTCAATTGGAAAAATGTGAAAAATACATAATCACAATCACATAAAAATCAGTTCTGCATGGAGGTGCATAGAATTTGTCACTGACTACTATGGCCTTATTCATATTATCATTAAATTATTAAACTCAGAGGTAAGGGCACATCATACATCAGCAACAGGCAGTTACACATTTGCTCACAGCTTGGGGCATGATTAAATAAGACCTTCAAAGAATGTAGTGTGTGTTTCATAGGCAAATGAATTATGCTGCAAAGCAAGCTGAAGTCAGCACAAATACCATTCAATGAGCCATACAAATGTGGTCATTTGTTTGAGTCACACCAAGGAAGGCAATTGGTGGCAGTACCACATGATGATGGATGTCATTTTACCACAACTGTGGGTGGAATGACACATTTGGAATGACACATGTGGTGGTAGAACCAAGCCTGTTCCTCATTTTTATTAACGATCCACCAGAAAAAGTGCAAACCATGGTCAACATGTTCCGCGGAAGACACTTAGAAGATGCGCTGAAGTGTTCTGAATCCCCTGACTGTGTCTCTTGTATCAGTCTACCTGATACTGCGGTCAAGCAGTTGGAGGAGTGGCTGCTCCCTTTCAATGCATCAAAATGTTAAATACATCAGCAACTGTGACCCAGGACTGACATAACTCCTGAATGGCACTGAAATCACAGTCAAGCTCACAAAGAGGCACCTCAAAATCTGTGTGGACTACAGGCTCAATTACTATGTGGGGAGGTGGAGGCCATTTCAAAGGTCAACCAAATGCTGGGCTTGTGAGGCAGTCATTTGCCAACAACATCATTTGGGGCCCACTGGAAAGACATGGTTGCAGTGTTTCAAAAGTTTCACAAGCCATGTCACTGTTAGTACAGAAGTTCCTAACAAGACAAGACTCAGATGTGACAAGAAGATATCCACATAAACCTCGAGCCAGGACTCTTGTCCGTCAAGATTTGATCAGCACCCAGGCCTTATATGATTGGAATGTTCTTCCATCCACCAACAGTAGCACTTTCAACCTCAGTTGAGCAATTCAAGTCCAGGCTTGATTTACACTGGGCTGATACCATGGTTGATATCACACACTGGGCACATCCCTAGTTTAAGGATGTTAGATCACCTGAATGGGAGCTAAAATAGACCAAGATCAACAGACCAAGAAGCCTTTTCAAATTCTGATCACCATGAGGCAAGGTAAGGTAAGACCTGACAAATGGGTTAGTGCAAATGTGTGATGCATGCTGCTGAAAATTTGCACTCACAGTATGCTAGAATGGATGCCTCATGGAAAACTTTGAGTTGCAATCTTCCATTACAACACCCTGCATACACACATGGGTGATGAGCTTCAATAAATGATTATTAATCTACCTTGATCTCAGACACCACAGGTAAGAAAGGCATTAGTGCAGTTTAGAAACACCATGCAATGACTGTTTTACAGAAAGGTGAGAGCACAACGCATTACTTTACACATGCCCTAAATCCTTGTATAATGCTAACACAGGCTTCACACTCAGTTCTAGGAACATAAGCCAGTGACTCCCCATTCAGCTTTCAGCTATCTCCACAGTTCAGGTTAAAATAAGCTGCGTGAAAGCTCTGTGCAGGCACGGATTATGTCGGGTGAGTGAATACAGCAAATACTAGTCTCAGTTGGATTTTCAGGACATACTTATACAGTCTTGCGCTGTAAACGAGCACTTGCATGGCTTTCCGCTAATCAATAAGGGCCTACCAATCGCCCTTCATCTGCCCATTCTTACTCCTCTCGCCGCGCTCGCTCCGCACCCTCTGCTCCGTACGCTACTGCGCTGCTTCGCCGTGCGTCGCCGTATGTAATCGCCTAGGGCCTTGGTAATCGCCAGTGCTCACATTCCTCCCGCTGCAAAACCTGTCGCGTTGTGCGCCACAGATGAACCAAGTATGTCATATATGCAACTTATTTGCCGGGTCAAATCGCTGGCATGTAAAGTTTACGCTCAAAGATCAAAGTTTTAGTGTAGCAGGGTTTTGAGGACTGCACGACTCGGGGCTTGGACTCAACATACCGGGTCATGGGGTCAGTGAATTTTGGAGGATAGACTAAACTCAAGACAAAACAGTCATTAGACAGGCCACTGGGGGCGACTAGTGGAGAACACATCTAACTCTGGACCGCAGCATCAAATAACAAGAACGGGGACGGGTCCAAGATTTCTTCAAGGGGGGAAGCCGGCATTGTGGGCGCCCTGGATTTTGGGGCTCCTTTGAAAAGTACATCGTATTCCTGCAATTAAGCTGCAATATATACACGGGAACCCATCTAACTGTGCGCAGCTCTATAAAGCTAGGCGTGCTACGCATGCGCATTCATGGAGCTCATTCACTTTCTACAGATCATGTTAAATCCTGTGATTTTGAGGTTGAGCGTTTTGGAACATCAAGCAAAATCAACTCAATTTGACTGCTGAATGCCATCAAAACCAAGCACGGACTTGATTCCTGGCTTGTTTACGGCTAGTTGTCTGAACAATGTAATCAGCTGATGATTAATGCATGATTTTTTCCGTTGTTAGAAAGAAGTACAAAATATCCTAGCATTCAAGACACGTTAAGGACGTGATTCACAAGCATAAAAAAGTGTCTCCCACCATAGGCGTAGGAACGTTTCAAAAAAGTTGGTGGGGACACGCTCAGGGCGTACTTCAGGAACTTTTTTTCTGGAAAACAAGCCCGATGACCTGGGGGAGGGGGGGGGGTAGAGATGGAGGTTATCGCTCTTTATTCAAAAGTAATGACTGCTACTCTAGGTATGAATCTAGAGCTGATTCTCACTGGTGCACACTCTTTCCTATCTGACTCGTCTATGTCATTCGGAAAATAAGGCTATCCATCCTCCCGAGGTAATGCGTTCATTTGGACGTTGTCTGTCCTGGGGAACCGAAATTCCACGAGCGGGTAGGCATTTTGGGTCAATCAGGAGACGTCTGCCTCCACAGGGTAGATACCAAAAATATGGCCTGAGCATAGGCTGGTGAGAATTTTGAAAGTGAATCGAGGGCTCACCGTACAACAGATTTTGCATGCACCTTCATTTCGCTGGCTGCTTTTCAAGACATAAGACTTGTCGCGGCATTTTAGGCGGAAACAAATTCGGAAGCTTGAAGCTGCCAAAAACCAGGTGACAGAAGCCATAGAACTGGAGATTCTCCTTTGAAAACCAACCCACAGAATGAAGGCCCTTCTGTCATATATTTTTGTCTGATCCCTACTCCCGTCCGCCGTCGGTGGCCACTGTCCTGGCCCGGCTGTCTCCGATTGACTGACCGCGAACTGATGGCATGGCTACTGTGTTGCACATTTCTGGATCGGCATTGCTACTAATTGGGATATAAAGCATATGTTGGACACCTGCAACAGTGCTTTTTCCAAATGGTTTTCCCTTATACCACACCACCCCAGAAAAATGCCGCCGGGAAGCTGCCTACTTTAGGTATAAATTGGCCCAACGGACATTTCATTGCCCGTCATTAAACGTAGATGACTTGATCTACTTTTTGTGTTGGCGGGGGTAGCCAGCGCTTTGCTAAAAGGAACACAGGTTTGACAGAAGCCCCCATTATGGTGATCCTCCCCCACAAAAAAATATCCCCGTGTATAGTTTGCTTGTTAACAGGGGACGCGGCTTTTTTCGTTTCATTGTTATTTACGTTGTAACTAGAACAGAAGCCAGAAGCTACCATGAAATTAATTCTGTTCGCATTTTTAACACGCGCCCGGGTGGCCGGCTAGATACCCTTTGCTCGAGTGATGGTCAATTTGACCCCCTCTCCTGAGATCTTGGGATGTATTAGAGCTAGGGACACCAAATTCACAGGGTGTGTTGAACTGTACGTTAACTCATTTAGGTCAGAGTTTGAGGTTCCTAGGTCATGACTTTCGGGTCAAATAAGGTCAAGCAAGGTGAAACTCCAGGTTGGTCTCTAAGGGCCCTCAGAACGTAGGTAACTGTTTCTAAGCAAAAGGTCACGTGTTCAGTTAAGGTCAGTGCCCTTGTTTGACATTTGGAAGGTCAAGGTGACCAAAATCACGCAAGACTGCTCTGAGTTTTGCATTTGAATAGCCGAAAAAGACAACGCTATGCAGTATGTTTTTAAAAACAAAATGTCCACCTCGGTCATTTCAGGTCAATGGCCTATTCTGACCTCTAGGAAGTCCATGGAAGATGTATAATGGGGTTTCTGCCATCAATAAATTCGAAATGAGCACCAGAAACTATTACATGCAGCAAACCCAAGAGTAATGACAGGTTGATTTTGACCTTGGTCTGACCTTTGTACCTGACGTTAGGTCAGCTTAATTTGCTCATTTAATATTTGCGTTTCAACATTTCGTCATGGTCCACCGGTGAACGAAAATTATAGCGGTTATAAAATAAGAAAGCATCTCAGAGAAGTGTGGCTTCGTCCAACACTCCATTGTTGCATCAGATTGAACGATTCCCTAGAAGTTTACTTCGCTGAAACTATGGCCTGATTTTGAGCTGCCATAGGTCAGCGACCTTACAAAGCACATCAACATTTTTGACGCCAAACGATCTGCTATTCAATTGTCTACAGCTATGCAACATTTGGCGTGGCTATGCCGCACCTCTCGGAAACCACTCTGGAAAAACCTTCGGGGGGCGAGTCAATTTGACCCCCACCCGAGCGCGTGTTAAGGTCAATAAACTGCAGAAATCAGGCATTTAACGACCGCATGGAATACATCAACGGTATTCTTAGTTTGCAATGGCTTAGTGGACCCTTTCTAAAGCGATGGAATTCATAAGTTTGTTCATAACGTTATATCTGCGTTCTACAAACATTGAGGACATCGCGAAGGTAGATTGTGGATTGATAGGTGTCATCGAAATTTGAGGGTGAAATTTTTGGCTGTAGATCGAGTGGACAATAATGTGTATTAACATCGCCAAGCCATGTTTGTCTGCATATTGTTAACATTGAGTCAGAATCGATTGGTGGTGCAATTTATATAACGTGGTTTTTAACATGCACGCTCGCAAATATTAGCAACAAAAACCTCGACACCAGGCGTTCCAGTCTCCATAGTCCGGGGAGCGCTAGCTCAGTGGCTAACATTTCGTCATGGTCCACCGGTGGACGAAAATGATAACGGTTCTGAAATGATTACCTTTAAACACTTGAATCGGTTAGCAATAAAAGTTGTGACATAATTCTGAGCCATGATGTACTCGCAAATCTAGTTAAAAAACTCGACGCCAGGCGTTGCAGTCTTCGTATGTCGCGCAGCGTCGGCTTCAAAATACTGATACCTGATGCTGATACTACTACTGAGCCGTGGCCAACGGGTGGACCGAAGATGATAACGTTTCTGAAAGAAGTGCCTATGACGCTTCAGACACCAAATCTTGCATCTACAAGGCAGTCTGGGCGCTTCTTGACGTGTGCGATCTCTTGGACTGCTAACAGGGCACGGTATCTAGCCCCATAAACCGCAAAGTGGTGTCTGGAATATTGCGGTGCTGAACTGGAAGAGTAAGAAAGATCTTTTGTTTTCGCGTTTCTGTGACATCAATCTGTCCAGGAGACATATTAACATGGCGCCCGCCGTCTGGTGGCAACTTGCAGTGGCCAACGCCGTTCGGTTTCACAGAAGCTGCAACCAGGCCATCGCTGTCCTTGCTCTCGAGGTTGTGGGCGGGCATGTTCAACCTTTTGATAATTGGTTTCACTAATTCATTCTGAAAAGATAAACGTTCTTAGACAATCATGGGATGGCCTTGTTCGCTTTTTTAAAATTCATTTCGACCTACTCTAACAATAATGAGACCTCGACTCTACTCAACAATAATGAGGCCCCCTTTTCCTTTCGGGCAAGGTTCCCCTTGAGTAGAACACCAAGGGCACATTACCGTTGGTTCCGGTCAAAAGCTGAAGGACCACGCCGTCCCATCGTGAAGCGTCTTCTGGCTGCCATTCTAGCGACACGAGGCGGGATCTCCTGGTCGATCCGGAGGCCATTGGAAGGATATATCGTTTCACGTTTTCCCCTCCCTGATACGGGAGGCCTTCTGACCCACGCAGTTGGCCCCAGATCAGCACAGGAACCCTCACTGACGCAACAGCATCCCTGATCGCCAAAGGGGGCCCAAAAATTGTCACACAGGCTTCAGTCCCGTGTTTCTGTTTTGTTCAGAGATGTTGAGGAATCCCTGAAAGTAGATTGTGGATGAAATGGGATCCTAAGCTTGTAATTAATATGGGTAACCCGTGTTCGTCGTAAATGTTCAAGATTCAGCCAGAATTGATTACTGATAAAAAAACATCCAATATGGTTTTTAACATACGCGCTCGCAAGTCATGCAAGCAACAGCCTGGACGCCCGGCGTTGCAGTCTCCATGGGCAGTGTGGCTTCGGCACTGCGGCTGTGATACTAGCGATGGTCAATAAGCAATACGAAAGTAGATGACGCATATTGGGAAGATGGCTGGTGAACTAGGTAAATCGGCATGTATGTTCAAATGTGATGCAAAAGTAAGCTAAACACAATTATAATGTGAAAGTGTGTGTGGGGGGGGGGGGGCAGTTAACACTGTTGGCCCCCCACCTTGAAAAGTGGGGGGGGGCATGGCCCCCCCTGTTCCCACGCCCATATCTCACACTAATAGCCTAGGGTGGGGAAATGACACATACGGCGTCGGCGGCACGTCAAATGAGTTCGACAAAAAATCGTCGGTGCATGTCCGACTGCTGCTCTAAGGCTATGGCACCGAGGCTAATAGGGACGGAACCTGAGCGATCATGGGTGCCGCAGGAGGCCAACAAAGGGGCTACCATCAACAAGT